CCTGCTGCTGCTGCTGTGGGAGGCCAGATGGGTCCCCGTCCTCGTACTGAGAAGGAGGCATAACAGTAATGAAAAAACCCCTGGACGGGAAGGAGAGTAACCCACCTGATATATTGGCATAAAAGGCATCATGCCGGGATCGAACTCGGGACCTATAGAGTGTCGGAAACTCTATTTCACAACTACAGTCCACCACTTCACCACCCACATGGTCAACCGGCATCTCGGTAACATCGTGGTCAACTAGGGGGACTCCACATCCTGGAAAACTACTACTATATCGGGGCTACTCCCATCTACCCCTACACGACAACCATGACCCCACATACACCTCCAATTCGCAGCTAACGTGACTGGATTGGGGTGCTACCCCCATGCGTACGGGGGCTATCTACGGAGAATTTCCAAGCCTATGCACATGAGTGATTGCGAATGTAGTGCGATATCATGAGACTGAGACAAAACCCCGCTCTATAGTTGATATTCCCACAGGGTCTACAAGCCCACGTGATTCCCTTTAACCCTAGTAGCCATATCTAATTACCACCCCTAATGAACTTCCCCGCCTCTATATTCAGCCTCAACTGATGCCCGTAAACACGACGAGGTACGATATGCGGGAAAACAATATGTCATGAAGTAGTACCCTACCCTATGTCAGACCCTATTAGTACCCTTCATACTATGTCGAAGGTGGTACCCTGAGGGGATCCCCCTTAGGGGATTCCCCTCAACAGTGCCACTCCAGAATGGGGGAGTCCAACAAAAGCAATCACCATTGACCATACTATTTGCTCATTATATTACTAATCCTTTAAAACTACTTTTCCTCTGAGGCATCAGTCTTCGGCCTGTAGTAAACCTTCGCCGGCAAATTTCGCAACACCCTTCCACGATCAGTTTCCGCCCACCTCCCGCGCAGCCCACTCAGCAATACGGCCGCATATAGTACCAAAGTACGCACAGAAGGTAGTTGTAGCTCCTGAGACTGCACCAGGGTAGACTAACACCCAATACAAGTCCTGGTAGCAGGCCGTTCTGAGCGACAACTCTGCAACGGACACTTCCTACGGCAGATGTCTATAGCCGGACCACTCGCCGAGGGATCGAACTTGCGCCTGAGGATGTTGTACAGGTCATGCTTGTTAAGCTTTTAATAACGCCAGTGGAAGAGCGGAAACATGACCTTCTTGGCAATCTTATTCTTCTCCTCAATTATGGTGATATCAGAGGGGACGAGGAAAAGGAGGTGATTACTACTCATGTTGGGGCACTGCACAACCTCCCACGACATAGCCATATCCTTCTATTCACTAGACAGACGTCCATTGCTGAAACATATGTGCTCGCTTTCCTCACCTGAGCTCGAGAGTTTCCAAAGCTAGGAATTCACATATTTCAGTTTGGTAAAAATGTACAGAAATCAAAAATAAGACTTAAAAATTGCCTCAGAAATTTCATATTGTCATCAACACATAGTACACCTTTTAAAGGCCTATTTCGCGTTCAGTAAGATCAATTTAATATACTATCAGCGATTTCATCGATTTCGTGAAAATTGAACTTACTTCAGACATGCCGGCAAGATTGATTGTACTAATGACGCGTGTCGTCGAGATTAATTTTTCTATCGAGTGCGCTGGCGAAGTCGATCTTACCCATACATAAAATCATAAAAAACTATAAGATAACATCATAAGAAAACTATAAGATAACATCATAAGAAAACTATAAGATAATAAGTATGTACATGATAGAGAAAATATTTTTTGGGGGGAAATTTCGGCAAATTCTAATTGGTTTTCGCGTCAGCGCTTTTTGGACACATCAACCTCGGTGTCCAATTTCACCCAAATTCGTTTGTAAACTTCTATAATCAGTGTGGACGACTCCAGAATTCAGCTGAAGAAAACACAGCATGTCATTGGTATTATCACTTGAAAATTCATCAAAAACATACGATGAAAAAGTAGAAAGAGAACATTTCCTTAAGAAACTGTTAAAATATCAAAAACGGCGTAGGGTCGATTGAGCATTGATTAACTCAGCGGAGTATGATAATAAAGTAGTTGTTTCAATACTGAAAATATGAGATTAATCTTTTTTGGAGTGGGAACAGAATTCTACACTATGTAATAAAACTGTTGATGTAAGCTGTTGATGAGCCTTCTACTGGTGACTCGTATAATGGAGTTTCACCCGTTTTACGTAGTGGAGTTAAACTCGGCGGTATTCGTGGGATGCAATAGTCGTGAAATGTGTTTTTCATATCACGGGTGAACCTCCAACATACTATTAATTATACGAGCCACCAGCGGAAGGTCCATCAACAGCCTTAACCGGTCCGACAAAGAAACAGAACCCGCGGAGGAAGGAGCGGCTCAACGGTACGTAGCAATGGTTTCACTACAGTGCGAAGGTTACGGAATGGGGATGAAAACATCTACGACTACGACTTGCTACCACGAGCGAGCTTGTTAATCTTGAACATCTTGAAAAATCTGGGAGTTTCTCAGCGACTTTTCACGCCGCCTCTACAGTGAGTTGATAACGACAGTGAGTACAGTTCCCTTTATCATGGTGTTGAGTATAGTATCAGAGTAACTTGCGGTAATCTTGTTGTTATGAAAACTCACTGATTGTTGGTAGTAGTAGTAGTAGTAGTAGTATTGGTAGTAGTATTGGTAGTAGTATTGGTAGTAGTATTGGTAGTAGTATTGGTAGTAGTATTGGTAGTAGTATTGGTAGTAGTATTGGTAGTAGTATTGGTAGTAGTATTGGTAGTAGTATTGGTAGTAGTATTGGTAGTAGTATTGGTAGTAGTAGTAGTAGTAGTAGTAGTAGTAGTAGTAGTAGTAGTAGTAGTATACTGTAGAGGCTAACCAACCCATCAGCCGGATCTCTTAAGAGGGGACGACAGTTGTTCTGCTTCCCATCGTGAAGGGTGAACTTGTCATGATTAAGAAGTAGCATGTGCCTCTTATACGGCCCCACCATGTATGAGGTGTCGACTCCGCTTCATTCACTATCAATCCTTACACTGGGTCCATCGCTACAGTGAGGTATGATATTAATTAACGTAATTTCACCACCGAGCGGTAGCGGCAATATTTACCATCACTCTGGCACTCTCTCATTAACGGTTGAATCCAACGTTGTTACAACACATGATATTTCCCCTTCCTCTACACTCAAGTAGAACGTCAATATGATCACCCGTCGGGCCGTTGACACTAACCAGAGCGTTACTATTTGGAGGAAGAGGATGAACACAACAGCAACAGTACAACCTCCTACTAGCCATAGCTAGGTGGGACCGATTGCGCAGACGGATTCCACAGGACACAACTACTAGACGATAGAGTGATCATCAAATACCCCTCAGGGTTTTAGAGACTGTTGCGTTCATTGGTGAGGAGCTGAGAGTGATCGATGCAGTACTTTGGTTGGGGTGCATATCATCGCCGATGTCAACGTGTTCGATTTGTATGGAGCTTGTAGGGGCGATAGATTCTCGAGGGAACGTTGGTCAACTTGTTTCAACGGAATGTAAACACATCTATCACGAGGCGTGCCTCAGTCGCTGGATGAAAAGGTGAGTAAACTGTTGAAAGTATCCGATCGCACAGTATTCACAACCTTTAGGATTTCGATTTCGACTAAGCTGAGCAGTGTTGGAATATATGCATACTTACTTCTGCTGATTGCAGAAGTTTCATCAGTTATTAAAGAAGTTTAGACACAAATTTGAGTACACAAACTCATGAGAATCTTGTCAATGTCACCTACACGTGTAGTTGATCATATGCAAATTTTCCCACGTGAAACCTCTATAGAAAGTGACGGTGGTAGCATAATCATTTTGATGAAATTGCGGTAAACACACTCATTGTTCAGGTCCCCGACCTGCCCAGAGTGTAAAGCTGAGCAGAAGTGCAAGCCGGTACGGTTACGGCCAGAGGTGCAGAATCTAGAGGACCACTTGCTTCCTCATGATCTCGATACTGTTGCTGGGCTGTTAGCAGAGATTGCTGATGTTGAAAAGGCTTCTGGGAAGATCGAGGCACAGATAGAATCCGTGGAGACGACTAGTGAGAGTTTAGCAGAGGAGTGTAGATGTGGAGAAATGAGATTGGAAAACCTCAGAGGTTGCTTGAGGAGAACTAAGCGGGAAAGGCAAACTGCTGAGGAGAAGGTGTATACGGTTGAACATGATATGCAAATGAAATTGGAGGAGTTACGACAAATGCAGGATGCTGTGAAAATGGACATGCCTTTGAGAGAACCCCGGAGTGAGATGAGACAACTAAGGGATAATATAGTTAATAATAGGAATATCGATGTTTTAATAAGGGCTGTGGAGGTGGAGTGGAAACAGCTTTTGGACACGTATAGGCAACCAGGAGGCGATCTCGAGAGTCTTACTATGCAACTGAACGAACTCGAGGAAGAGTTACAAGAGGCTCGTACGAAATGCCGCCGAAGTCCCGTAGGGAAGCGAAAACGTGTTGGGTTGACCGCCCATGAACGGGTGATGAAACGTGGGCTGGAGAGGCAGCTTAGTCGAGGAGCAGAGGCGGAGGAGGACCAGAGTGTATTGCAGAGGATGCGAACGCTTGTCTCGGGAGGTAAGGAGAATCAGTCATCGCAGAGTAATGGGGCTGTGCTGAAAAGGCACGCGACGCGGGTGGTAGACCCATCTCAGTCTGCGGGTTCGGTGAAGGATTCTGTCGTTGTGGCGGCCCCCTTGCCCAAATTGAAGAGAACGGCAACTGAGGCATCGTCGGACCCATGTCCACTTGAGGATTTACTTGGCGACTTGTTGGAGAGTGAGAGCAGCACTCGAGTGGCGAGGATGGACGATCACGTGGGGCCTGGGGGATCTACATGCAGTTATGTTCCACAAAGAGAAGGAGGAGAGGACTCGGTAGTGGTGGTGGAGTTGTCAAGTGATTCAGATGCAGTAGAGACTGTATCGAGATGCCCAGAAGTGCCTTTAAAACGGCGGAGGCTGTATGGAGGGACCCGACCGAGGGTCCAAAGGCAACTCACAGATTTCTTCTTGAGATCGGAATCTACGGAGGGCTAAGGAGAAGAGAGCATGCGCATTGTACAATTATCACTTTGAAAAGGGGTTGGGTTGGTATTCCTCGTCGATGTGAGAGATCTCATTAGCCATTTATAATGGTCAGTAGTTTTCCTCACTTCACCCCAGGGCTTCACTTCTGCAGTGATGGTATTGCCAACGCTCTTCAAGGTCAGAATCGGTGAGTGTTGCTCGCTATCACTCGTGTTGGAGGAATATGTATTCGCTTCCCTCCGCTGCGTTTCCTCACTAATTATGGAATTTTGCTGGCAGTTGACAGAAATCAACGAGGAAATCTCCCAAAGTTTTCGTATTCTCACCAACACATGTAGTTGACCATGTGTATATCTTCCTCGATATGCGTATGCTCATGCATTCATTCACGCCCTGAAGAGTCCGAGGATTTGGGCCCTTTATCGGTTTCATCTGTTTTTTGGAATCTGTGTTTGAGGATTGTATGTTTGGTTTCCTAAGCTGAAATCAGGAGTATCCTCACTGATTACAGGAGTTCACACAAGAATTAGAGTAAAAACTTTGTTCTTATTTGTTTGCTGGTTAAGGTTGATGAACGTTTCACTTGTGACTCGTATAGTCTACCATGTGAAACGTGTATAATTCTGTTTCCACTCAAAAAAAGAGTAAAAACCAGTGCGAAATTCCTCAAAATTTTGATATAGTCACCAGACATGTAGTTGACCATGCGCATGTTTCCTAACACTATTTGGAGGTGTCTCGAAGGGATCTCGAGAGTCTCAATGATCGAGAGTAGAGCGAATTTCTAGCAGGAGTCGATTTACTATTGTAGGCTTAGCTACAGCACAAGAAAAGGAATCAATATTTGGCTATATTCTAGAGTGGCCTCACTTCACACCCACATCTAGTTTTCTAACATAGGTTCTAATTTCCCGGTAGATGCTTCCAGATTACACGTGTTCGCTGAGGAGAGTGTCGGAAACGAGAATAGGTATAGAATGAACTATCTGGTATTATATTTCCAGATATTTCGACTATTTCAAACACATCTTATAATGTTCAGTCCATCCCTATGAGCTGACATTCTGAAAATACTTAATGGAGCTTTGCATCATGCAGGTTATATTGAGTCTGTAAAATCTTCGTGTACCTCCATCTAGCTCATACCATGACTGGAGTGACTCAGGTGAACTCAATGACCTCGGTGATGACATTGATAGGTGTTGTGATACCTAGGTCAGGGTCGGTGTCTGTTTTACTGGGGGAACGCAAGGTAGTAGGCATAAGGAAAAGTTACAACTCTTATTCTTGTGGAGAGAATAACAGCAGGAAAGCTTGGAGTGGAGGAAAACTTACAATACCTCGCTCTATGAAAAGGGGGAGAAGCTATGCGTTTGCGTGCCGCGGTATCTTGGCGCGATGGAGAGGGAGGGAGGCGTTCCTTGTCGGTGTGTATGAGGCTTGAAGGAATGAAGAGCAGTTTGGATGCAGCATAAACGAAAGCCTCGGCAGCCGAGTACATCTAAGTTGAGTATGCGAATGACTTGACATTTTCACGAATCACGTTCTTGTTTACTTGATGGTTGTGTTATCGTGTCACCACTTCATCATTTGTTCTGCGAGGATGGTACTACGAAGATTTTACACTTTTTCGTCCCACACTCGTCGCGTGCAATGGAAACAGCTGTGCAATCCCGATGTATAGAACGAATGTTGTTTCCCAACATACCGGTAGCAGATCCGGATGATGCCACACTCATAGGCTGATTGCAAATCAACTGATATTGGAGGATCCCGGTCAATGTCATCGACTAATCTTCCCTCACCGGTTACCGATGGTTGCTCTGGGACAGTGCTCTACTTTCCATGCACATATGCATCTCGATGAATCCTGCGCTTTGTATCGTAGACCGTAGTAGACAGAATTAGCCGTGTCGTTGTGTCGAAGCAGCATGTCTGAGGCTCAGCTGAAGTTAGCTGCATTTGTTAGTAAATCTGATTTCATGTTCTAAGTCGAGTTTTTAGTTAGAAGAATACATATGAGTATTTGGTAGTTTACCAGAATTTCGTTCCTCGCTACGATGTCTAGCAGCCTCCTTAAACTTCACTATTTTGACATACCCGCTAGAGCGGAGCCTATTCGTCTGTCATTCGCAATACAAGGTGAGCTCCAACTCGGATGATGGAGTTTTCGTTTATGAGAGTTCTTAGGTATTCCTTTCGAAGATATTCGTGAAACGAAGGAAGATTGGGCGAAGACTTTGAAGCCTAATCACGTGTTCCCCCTCGACCAACTACCGGTTTTGGAATTTCCTGATGGCAAAATGGCGACTCAGAGTTATGCCATTTTGAGATATGTGGCTACGGTAGGCAGAAGTGGATCTCTCCGATGCATCTCAAATCGTGATTGTTTCAGCTGCGTCCCTCGTATGGTCTCTACCCCACTGACCCTGTTGAGAGGCTGCACATAGATCAGCTGTTGGATACCTTTGCCGATATCAGAGAGAAGACAAGGGTGGTCAAGGTCATGTCTGACGGCCCTGCCAAGGAAGCTGCGAAATCGGTAGGCTTGTGATTGTCTGTTGAGTCTGTCTGATTCGTCGAAGAGTTCAGAATTGATTGCTTTTTACTTCTCAGGAGTTGGCAAATACCACTTACCCGTTTTACTTTGAAAGAGTAGAGCGCATGATCGGAGATAATAAGTACTCAGCTGGAGACCATCTCACGATTGCCGATCTGGTAAGAAGACTTCAGTGTCTTGGTTGGATCTTATTATTCATGTTAAGTATGCGAGGAAATTTTTAATTCTCTCCTTGGAATAATCGGTTTGCTTGCTTAGAATGTTACATTTAGTATTTGCTGATTTCCTCAGATGATCGATTCCATATTATACTTCATATTCACCCTCGCCAAGTTGGGTATGCAGCCATCCATGTTGAAGCCCTATGAGAAACTCCAAAGGATCCAGACTTTGGTAGCGGCCAACCCTGCTGTGAAACTGTGGCGCGAGAAGCGTGAGGTGAAGCCTCTCCCTGCTGTTGCTGAGAGTTTCGCTCATTAGATAAGCTGTGTAACGCAGCTCGATTGTAGCCGATTTTCATCTCAATTCTACAAATTTCATATTTTGTTGCGTTGTTTATCAGTGATGTGGCGAGGTTTCTAAACGCAAGCGAACATATTGTGTATGAGCATGATCATCAAAGTGTTTGTGTCCTACTATCAAGAATTCCTGAAGTTAGTGCTGTCCGCGACTCTGTTGTTGCTTATCTGGGAATAGTTGCTCGTACTTAACTTTGAAAAGTCTTTGTCGGTCAGCAACTCCCTAAATGAAACACATTTTCATTACTTTATGAACTTCTGGAGGGGTTCATTCCTCCATCATAAAAGCCTTACAGGCTCAGAAACTCAGAAAGGTGAAACGAACATACTCGTTACTTTATAGATCTTAGATGGGGTTAGTTCCCGTCTCACTAATTCTCTCCAGGTGGGTTTTTATGTCACCCCAAGATTTGCCTTGGTAAAACCATTTCCACCGTTGCGCGATATGAGATTACCAGAAGTTTGTCATGCGTGTCTCAGCGCAACACAATCTTTGTCTCTTCGCTTACTAAAGTGGTTAATGCTACAACTGTACTTTTTCCACGTAGGGTGCCTCACACTAGATTCACTAACCATTCACAAGGCACTGATGCGCAAACTTGCGACAGGGCTCGTAAATCCAAGGCTCGAGTCATCCTGGATGACTCATCCACGAAGTATTCAATCTCTGATTACTACTACCATACCCCGCAAAGTCGGTGGATTTCTTCACCCAAATTTTGCTCAATCGTGAAGTTCCCCCGGGAATTATCTGAAGCTCGTTGATATATGTTCTGCCGCTCGACTCGGGAATGCGGCGTTAACAATACACAATTTTTCACCGAGTTTTGCAGTCTGAGCATCTAGTGAAGTATTTGGATTTTAGCTGCAGATAGCTATTTCTGCTAGTGAGATCTCCGCATGACAATTTAGATGTTTGTGTGTTCCCCTCGGTTAATCTTCAGTTTTTAGCGATGTTCGAGTGTCAGCTATATAACGAATATTAGTCTATGTCACATAGCGTCTCGGAGTTCTTGACAATTTCTTACTCCACAATGTCCAGTAATCTGCTCAAACTTCATTATTTCGACTTGGCTGCTAGGGCGGAACCAGTTCGTCTGTCATTTGCAATCCAAGGTAGCCTCTAACTCTCGCAGCTTAGCATACCTTCATGTGGCGTTACAGGGATCCCCTTCATTGATCACCGTATCTCGATGGAAGACTGGAAGAAGAGCCTAAAGCCGACTCATGTGTTCCCCCTCGACCAACTGCCCGTTCTGGAGTTTCCTGATGGCAAAATGGCGACTCAAAGTCATGCTATTCTGAGATATGTGGCTACGGTAAGGTGGATTGCATAGTTTACATCAGCTTTCTAATAATGCATTCGTTAGTCTGTTTATTTGTTTTAGCTGCGCCCATCATATGGTCTCTACCCCACTGACCCTATCCAGAGACTAGGCATAGATCAGCTGTTGGATACCTTTGCCGATATCAGAGAGAAGACAAGAGTTGTCAAGGTCATGTCTGACGGCCCTGCCAAGGAAGCTGCGAAATCGGTAGGCTTGTGCTTGCTAGTACCCTCGTGACGTGCTGGTTCAATTGTGATGAGTATGCAGTGTAATATGTATGTTCAGAGCAGATCAGTTTTCGAATTTCAGGAGTTGTCACGCAGTACCTATCCGTTCTACTTCGACAGAGTTGAGCGTATGATCGGGGACGACCAGTATTCGGTTGGAGATCACCTGACAATCTCTGATCTGGTAAGGGAAGTCTCGGCCGAGATTCTCCAGGGAG